AATATTTGCTTATTTTTGATAACTAAACTATGTCACTTAAGGCACTGTCCACTATCTTCTGGCAACCATAGTTCCTCACTCACAGCAACTAAGAATATTTGCAAGCTTCAGTCAAAAATCTGAGATGATTTCCCTTTGGGTCAATGCCTTGATCAAGTGTACTGATATTGCCTGAGACTGAAGACTATCTGTGCAATACTGCTTTGGTTTATGTAGACGGCGTACAAATCTAGCCATGAGATATATACCCTGGGTTTATCAAGCAACACATTGAGGATGTATCAAAAGTGCATGAATTAATTCTACAAACTTCAATTAAACTTACCATGGAACGAGTTCTCGGGACTGGCCCCCCGTGCCTGATGCCACAGTTTCTGGGTAGGACACTCACAGGCAGATTACGACCCAATTTTCCTGGCCATTCACTCCATTTTTCATAGGGCCACACACCATTTTCTAGTTTGTCCCACAAAATACTGTCCCCCTTTTAGGGAGTAGGAATAGAGTAGGAGACACGTCTACACAATCTCCTGAATGAAATACTTCATTTTGAAAGTGCCATTTTCCTAAAAGTGGTCCAGTGAGTATTCTCCTTGCTAGCAAAGAATCAAATTTTGCTGCAAAGGTTTAAAACTCTGATTTTTTCCTCAGATTTAGAAAGGGCCATGAAAGCTTTCTTCTATTTTTTTATAACATTCTGACACTTTTGCCTACAAACCACACACTGAAACCTCCAATGGATGAACATGTACAGTATTTTCCCCAAACCTTCTAATTTCCTTCTTTCTAGGACAAATTTTGAGCGAGTGTGAGGCTCCTTTCTGTTTGGAGTGAATGGCCTGAATCCATCGTCCACCGAGTAGCCCATCGGAATGGTTCTCCCTTCTCTGCACAACAGGACTTCTCCAACAGTTTCAAGAGTTGGGCTCCATCTTTTTGTACATGTTTTTACCCGAGGTTTTATTATGCAATGTTACAAGTGCTGAAACAATGAAAACTTTTCAACTGACTGCTACTAAATTAATTTTTTCCGATTTGGAATTTTGAGAGAATGCAAAATATTTGAATTTTTAATTTTTTTTTGAAGGTTCAGTTTGATACTAGTGAGAGTTGCTTCAAAATCAGGATTCAATAATTAAATGTCAGGACAGATTATTTCTCCCTGATTTCCATGACTGACAAATTTCTGTCTTTAGATAGCAAGGCATCAACTGCAAATGGTAGTTTGCTGGTTTTTATTAGGAGCCCTTGATTTCCAAACTGGGCACAACAGCATCTCTTATTTCACATGTAAAATTTAGCTATAATTTTATTTTTTTTCGTCTCTTCTTTCCGACTTCTTTGTACAGTTTTTTTTTCGTTTCTAAAAACTCAATTATTTGTCTTTTGGTTTTCACATAAAGGTTTTATTATGGTTTTCTAAAAGGAAGCATGAATACTTTTTTTTTCATTTAAAGAACTTGCTTTCTATAAAAAGGAGCAAGTTTTTCTATTGTCTTGGTAATTATCTCTTCCCTTTTTATTTTTATGAAGTGGTTTTTGTCACTTTTCAAGAAAAATATCGTAGAGTAATTTTAATTCCTATCTATAATCTTGATCTGGTGCAGATTGTCACTGATATACTGGCATACATGAATTCAATTACTTTGGCTGATAAATTTTTCCGGTTGATTAAATGTCAACCTTTTAAAAAAGAGATCTGACTGTGGAACAAGTAAATACAACCAATGGCAAAAGATTGTCAAGTTATACAGCGGAAGGTACCCACAACATGGGACCCAGAAAACCGCCCTAAAATCTTCAAACAAAATGTCCAAGAAATCGCACAAAAGTGACCATTTGTCAACATTTTCATTTTTTTTGGATCAGACACCATGATCTCCTGCGAATTTCCAAAGTATCAAGCGAGCATTTTTGAGTTGGTGCAAAAAACAGTTCCTTTGATTTGCAACTTTTGGAGTTGTGGATACATCGACATCTGCTTCGTAGAAAATAAACCGATTGTCAAAGTTCAGAGGATCCTTACCATGTTGCAGTCGACTTAGACATCTATGATCCAGATGCTGTACACATCCCAAACACACTGATCATGAGTAATGCAGCGGAGCAACCCACCGGAACCTGTCGGCGCCCGTGGACGGGGAACACGCAGCCCACACCAGGGAGGACTTGTATGCACCGGGGTGCTTAGAATGGTTTTCTTTTACATTGCCTGTTGGTTTAAACAACAATTATAATGTTGCGTTAATACACAGGGTGGTTTTATGTATGTACATGTATAATCAGCACTTGGCACCAAATTGTTTTTTTTTTAAGTGAAAGTTGCTCTACCTATGCTCATCAACGTATTCAGTTTTTTTCTTCAAACAAATTTCGAATTTGAATGTTTTATATAAACAGATAAAAGAATGCTATGCATCCGTAAATCAATAAAAAGATATGCCTGAATTATTGTAAGGCTGATAAAAATGTGAAAGTTGTTAAGTAATTATCCCGTACCTAAACACGGGTTAAATTGTTGATTTTGCATGTAACTTGATCAAATATCTAACTTAGTTGAATTAAAAACTGTACATAAAAAAATGTTGCTAGTCAAAAAGTCTGTCATAAAATCAAAATGGTATGGGTACGGGGTTTAAACGATTGTTTTTTTAAATTAACTTGATCTGCTTAAAACATTTGAGAGAAGATTGAGAATAAATTCATGAAATTTTTAAAGGTCTGACGTTTCTCAAAGCCTAATTCTAATGAAACAAAACTGCTTCTAGTGTGCCAGTGCTGATTATACTCAAGATACTAGGTACAGGATTGGTAAATACAGAATAGTGAAGTAACTTGTCATCTTTTGAGTGGGCTATTGCCAAAACCAAAGAATAGATTAAATGCTCGGATATGCATGTCTTAAACAAAACAAGCCCAAAATATTACAAAATTGGTGGAACGACATGGCGTTTTGATTAAAAGGGTTAGCTTTGACACAATAATGAGTGCATATGAATTGACAGCGCGCAACTCTGAAAACAACTACTATCTTGAATAAAATTGTGACGATTTTTTGTTCCATAAGGAAGTTTAAGAACTGTTGTGACAGTAGACTGCCGACAATGAAGAGGTTTTTACCAATCCAGTACCCAGATCCCAACAGGCATCCCACAAGACTAGAAAAAAAATGGAGTAAACAGTAAATACCCTAAGAACAACCAGCCCCTACTAGAATGCTGGGTATCTGTTTTGTTACTTTTGAGGTTGTTTCTGAAGGTCTTCTGAAGGCAATACTTAGCGCATTTGTCTGTTATTATATATTTTTACAAAAGCACTACACTACTTTTTTTTCAATAACTTTTCTAATATGAATCCTTCAACACTTAATAGCATTTGCATTATATGAATTCTAGTTAAAAACGTGATCTTCAGCACGTTCGATTCTTAAAAGCTTCTAAAAAATCCAGCTTTTTAAAAGGTCAGACATTCTGCAGGGGCCTGGTTATGATATTGCATGATGTTTTGGCCACATTTTGTGGCACAAATTGTCCTCAAAAGTTCAGAGTCCTTCATCACATTAGTGTCCAACACACAAAACAGTTCATAAAATGTGGTCATCAGAACGACCTCAATAACTGCGAGAGTTCCTTCAGTTAAATAATAACTGTCCCATGCAGAGTGAGTTGTAAGTTTATTGCACTTGAAAAAGTCAATTGGTGAAGTCGGTTCCAGTGGCATCCATGTACAGGAATCAATCAAATGGGTTTCTTGTATCTTTGTTGCGGTATCCTGTGCCAGCTTCATGTGCATCAGATCATTCCTGCTGGATGGATGTATATGGTCCTCATGGCTCAATCAATGTCAGTAGTTTTCAATCACATCAAGCAACCAATCCACGACTGGAGTTGCAGTATCCAGGTTTGAACTTCAATGGGAGTTTTCCAGGTAAGTCTGATAGCCTGCTGCCAGTAGTACATGTATTTCAGGTGTAACAGCCCTGTAGGAAACACAGAGAAACAGGTGAACCACCTTAGTTACTGCAGCAATTGTTCACAGTGTATCACACACTGTAACTGCATGTGAATACTGTTAACTTTTGCAAATTACTTGCCCTTTGTACATAAACCTCCAGAACTGCGACAATAGATCATTATCATATTGCAGCCATTTGGATTTTTGTCCCATTCAAATCAATGTAATCAAAGCAAGGATGGAAGGAAAAATAGTTTGGTTCCGTTTTGCACAAAAAAAGTATCATTCCGTACTGTTATTGGATACAGGGAACATGACTGAAATGGTGGCATCATGATAATGGTCTATTCTAATGGTAGGCTGTACCCCTCATGGGTTTTGAGACCACTGAGGAACAGGTGCAACAACTTTGGCAGGCTGCATCCCATCCTCGGCCTGGCTGGCTCAATGTTCCAACAAAGGATAAAGAGCGATTGATGATGATGGTTTGACCTTTCCCTGACGTAATCTTTATGAGTACTGATACTCAGAACTGTTTGAGCATTTTTTGTGGGGGAAAAAAATCAATCCTTGCTTGGGAAGGATTCGAACCAAAGACCACAAGTGCAGGTTTCATGAGAATGTAAAGCAGGAAACTTAAGTTAAAGCAGATTGTGAATCGCTTGAATTTGTCACTCGTCTTACCTCCTTTGATGAGTTGAAGCTTCCGAGCTGACCACAGTCGTCCATCAGTAACACTGGCTCCAGTTCACACCAAAGAAGGTGTAGTAACCTGCGTAGTTCTTCAGACCAAGAGCAGCTTGCGTCCTGCCAAGATGATTCCGATTGCCAAGCCAATGCCATGGATATAATGTCCCTGTCAATCAAAGTGACTCCAAACTTTCATCAGCGATGCCACTGAAATTTCTTGACTCCCTGTCACTGTGTATGCCGACTAGAATTGGTGCGTGATGTCCCTTTGATTTGGCTGAAGTGCATCGAGAACCAGCGGCAACTCAAAGCTCTGTAAAGATAACCAAACAAAAAGAGATGGCATAGATAATTGGATGGTTTCATTCATTCCTGGCACTCGGACTGTTTGGAAAGAAAAGGAGGACGTGATTACGAATTATTCAAAACCTCCTGTTCCACCCAAGTAAGCAAAAGAAGGTTTCGACTGATACCAATATGTACGCAAATCTTGACTGCATTTTGGCATGGGATGGCTGATTTAAAATTGTAAAATAAAATATTAAACAATGGGATGGAAGGATTGATTTAGTCTAGAACACAATAATGATGAACACTTCCACGCTACACTCTGGCATCTTCAACACATTTCCTTTCAACACTCACTGCTCGGCAATTATCAACAGCTCATGCTCAACATGGCAAAAGTAGGTTCTTAGCTCTTGAAATCAACGTTTTCAAAAATCAATTGTCAATCGTTTTGAAATCAATGGTGCTCAGTCAGCACAGATGCAACCACAATTTCGGTGTTCAAGTTCATAATTTTGACAAACTAACAAACTATTTTTGGAAATCCATCATTTTTGATGCATCATGTATAATTTAGTTAGTTTAATTTAATTTACAGTGTGTATGTGATGCTAGTCACTGACATGAAGACCTGAAACTTTTATCAAGATTGCTTAAAGGAAAGTCACTTTTATGTCATCCAATTAATGGTTCAACAAGAGAAGTTGGAGTAAACATTTTAGAAAACGTGAGTGTGCTGAGCAACCATTGGGAATACGAAATGTAATTAAATAAAAAACTAAAAGAAAGATGCTAGGAACGTCACGGTGGACCATCGTTGGAAATAAGAAAGTACTGTGTCACTGAATAATAACTCCATCAAACAACCCTGGATCTTTTCATTGATTTGAGGCATATAATTGTGGGTCATTTGATGGTGGTAAATCATAAAGGAAAGGAAAATACTGTATTAGGACCGTCGTGTGTATTTTCCTTGTCAAATTTTCTTGGAGACAAATTGCTTTGAGACAAATTTGATTCATGGCACAGAAATTGAATTGTGTTTGCAAGAATCAAAGGCACGATTGATAACTGGTGTCTACACTGTACTTTAGTTTTGACTTGAGAACGGAAACATTACACTTCCTTCAAGCCCACTCCTGGTGATTCAAAACAAGCTTGAGTTCTATGTAACTTGTTCAGAATGGCAAGCAGCACAAGAGACCATGGAACAGCAATTTGAGAACAGCCAAGTTACATGTAATAGCCAACTGACGTTGGGCAGACATCAATAATGCTTATTATCTGCAGTTTTGCTACAGCGCTTGATGAGAAATGGTAGCAGTTTCACAATCAGCAAACAGTGTGACTAACATGTAGCAGCAGATTTTGGTGATTTCGTGAAGCCGATTTATTGCTACGGTACAAGACTATTGATGACATCCCTCAAGCAAGAGTTGACATTTAAGACAAAATCTGCAGGACAGAAACTTTTTAATGGCTTTTGATCATACTGAGTTAAGAAAAGAAGAACAAGACTTCTATTTTTAACTGGTCAACACTTCCACTCGTCATGGAAACTACATGGTCACCCAATGAAGGAACAACTGTCACTACCAACACAACAGGAGACAAAGATGAGAATGAATTCGACTCAACAACATTGTTGATTTTGGTAAAAGTTTTGACAGTACTTGCAATCTTTCTGTGCGTCTTACTGAATCCACTGATGCTTGTCACTTTACGTCGTGTCACCAGCATCCAGCCAACAACCAAAATATTCATGGCTTCTCTCACCCTGTCTGATCTGTGCAACAGTTTATGCAGGATCTTTGCTTTAACAGAAGAGTTGGCGGGATCTTGGTTGCTGGGGGATTTTCTCTGTGTGGTAGATAGTGTGACTATTTACTTATTTAACGGGCTGGGCATTATTTCCCTCTTACTCTCGACTGTGGATCGTTATATTGCCATTTCCCGTCCTTTGCGATACCCTTCAATCATGACTGTGTTCAGATCAAAGATTATTGTGTTTAGCACGTGGGTTGCAATGAGCATTCTCTGCATTTCGATATTTGGGATTAATAGTAGTCAAATTGTCTCACTAGATAGCCGTTCTTCCCATTGCATAGCAGAATCATATGACTGGAAACGATATCTAAGTTTTACACTAGTTGTTATCCCAATTCTATCAATACTCATCCTGTATGCACACATCGCCCTTGTAGCTCGCAACCAAGCCCGACGCATTGCTGCTGAAAACCAAGCAGGCAATGGTCAAGGTGGGCAGAGAATAAACACCAGATCAACCACCACCATCATCATCATAACAGGGACTTTAATCATCACCTGGATGCCTACAGTAATTTGGTTAGTGATGAATTCACAAAACAAATCGGAGACTTATGACAGTCACTTGGCCGCCATGTTCACACAAGCTCTGGTGTTGTCCAATGGATCGCTCAATGTTGTTATTTACTATCTGAGAAACAGGGATCTTCGCCAGGCACTACGAGGTCTACTATCTGACTGGTATCATAGTCTCAACCAAAGATTTGTGCATTAGTTTTGAAGGAAAATTTCAAAATATCAGCACTTTGTTCAGTATGCACTTTAACTGACACTTAAACACTCAGCGTTTAACAGTGCAAACGCTGGCGCTTTGCGGTTGCCATGTGACTGCATTGGAACCGGTGGCGTAGCCACCGGGGGGGGCGTGGGGGGTGACCGCCCCCCATAAAACCTTGTCGCCCCCCCAGTCGCCCCCCCCCCCACTGAGATTTTGAGTTTCTAAAAAAAATATCATTGATCTACATGATGCCATGGGCCCTATTATGTACTACAATGGATCTTTTGCTTAGAAAATATTTGTTAAAGTGGTCAAAAATTGCCTCAGATAGCACCACAGAGCATTTAGAATCCAAAATTTTTCGGGGCCCATAAGCGGGCCCCGAACCCCACGCCTATAGTTCAGAATTCTGGTAGCTGATTCAATGACTCCAACCTCGAAAACAATGTTCACAAAATTTTCTTATGCCTTTAGCTGAGAAAAAACCTCGAAAATTATGTTTAAATTATTATCTTTTGTGCTAAGATAATTATTGGTTAAAGTGGTAAGAAATTGCCTTAGATCACACCACAGAGCATCGAAAATCCATTTTTTTTCGGGCCCTTAAGCGGGCCCCGAACCCCACGCCAATAGCTCAGAATACCGATAGCTGATTCAATGTCTCCAACCTCGAAAACGATGTTCAAATAGTTATCTTTTGCCAAGAAAATATTAGTTAAAGCATGGAGGAAAGTCGTAAGAAACTGCTTCAAATCACACCACAGAACATCTAGAATCCAATTTTTTTCGGGGCCCGAACCCCACGCCGTAAGGGCTTCGCGCTTGCATCAGTTATGTTCAAGGTATGTCCCCCCCCCCACTTTTGAGAAGCGATTGACGCCCCCCATGAAATGTTCCAGCCCCCCAGCGCGCCCCCCCACTGAAAAATTCCTGGCTATGCCACTGATTGGAACCTTTTGAGGATGAGCACGATTTAGCCTGGTCACATTGGGGCACAGGCGCAACAACGTTGGCAGGTTGCCTTCCATTGTCAGCCTTGCTGATACAGAGATTGAAGACGATGGCTTTACCTTATAAGCACTGTATACTCTGAAGTGCTTGAGCATTTTGAGAAACAATTAACAACGTTGCATGGGAAGGACTCAAAATTGAATATCCAACATTGAAAATCAGTTTTCAATTAAAGTAATAGAAACAAAATTATAAAAGAGGAAGGGGAAAAACCCCCAAAATACCCAGGGGCCTCTTCGAGATCATCTGTCATGTCGGTGCTGTTCCGTAACACACTGTCATTTCGTTTGTACAACATGTCTACTCTCCAATAGTTTTGTGTGCTTGGCAATTTCTTCTTCTGTTTTAACTACAAAGTTTCATGGAAAAGCCTAGAAAAGCCATTGAAAACCCCTAAAGTGGGAGAGCACTGAGCTGAAATATCTGCTGCATTTGAAGCATTTATTTGTTCTTCAGTGTATAGCATATAGGCCTATTGAGAAGTCATTCAATATGTTAAAAATCAAAGTTTGGGTTGGGGGTCAAAACAATTTGAAAAAAAAAAAATCATTTTTAAACATTGGTTATTCTGAATGGCCCCTTTTTCATAATCACCTGTTCCGCCCAAGTCAGCAAAAGAAGGTTTGGACCGATGCCAATCTGTATGCAAATCTTAATTGCATTTTTCACATAGGATGGCTTATTTAAAAGGACAAAAGATAGGGTAAAAAAATAGATTTAGTCTAAAACACTGCTCATCTTGTACCCTTTACTAGTATGCAATCCATAAACTTTAATGTGGAATTGCCCATGTACAAACCAACTATTTGTGAAATTCCTTTATTTTTTATGCACCTGTGACGAGTGTAAAAATACCCCCCCCCCTCTATTTTGTTGGTTTATCCCTATTGGGTTTGACTCTTTAGGCTATTTATATTCAAATTAGCTGAGCGCCCTCAACGTCAGGTTTCGGGCACTCCTTGCTGCGTCATTCACTCATTGTCGAAGACCAGCTAACATTGTCTTGTCATTTTCTGTCTTCGCCAATACAGGTAATTATTACGTTTAATCCATTTTATCTTAATTTAAAAATAGTTTAAGATTACACTGCGATTTCTTGTATTCCTTTTTTCCATTAGTATTTCATCATTATTTTTGATTAATATTTCCATTGCCTAAAAGGTCGTAAATGTTGTATTTTTCTAATTCCAGTAGATTGGCTTATAAGTTAAAGCCCAAAACTTAGCGGATCCATAGTCTTTAATCATTGACACTGACGTCAAACTTTCATTTACTAGATTTAGTTATAGTGTAGATGATGCATTCATTTAATTTTACAATGTTTTGAAACTTGGATTTGTCTACGGGCAAAAATCCAATATGGCGGATCCCGAAAAAGTTTTGGCGGGAAATATGGGGTAATTGTTTAGACATATCGTTATCATTTTTTGTCCAGAACGATGATTAAGTAGTCAAGTTAATGTAACAAGCACTTTATTTACCTTTCATTTAGTTTTATTAATGCTTTGTAAATATTTAAAGGTCATTCACTCATTGTCGAAGACCAGCTAACATTGTCTTGTCATTTTCTGTCTTTGCCAATACAGAATAAATTTGTTGCCGATATCTACTCAAGAACATTGTCCGGTTCCTCATTTTAAAAGTGCCACACACCCATGTATGATTCAGTATAGGACTAGCTACCTATTTGTCGGATTGAATATTTTGTATCTGTTCCTTCTGACTGTGGATCAGCAATTGACGTTTTTGTCTCATCCCCTAATGGCCCAACAATAGGAGATAAAAAACCTTTCATCTTCGCTGTTATTGCCTTGTGACTGAATCAAACGCTAACCGCCACACTTCTTTGAATTAAGTGCCGTTGGATGTGAGCATGAGCCATCATTGGGAATGAGAAAGCATGTATATGTGTGAATGAATAACATTTTTGGCTAATAACCCAGTGTTGCTCTTTTCAGCGCGGCAATAAAAGTTGGCCATTAATTTGATGGTGGTAAATTACAAACAAAAGAAATATGTCGGACCATCTATATGCGCTTCCTTAATCAACTTTGCTTAAAAAAAAAAAATTGCTATGAGACAAATCTTTGGAGACAAATTTGACACGTGCACCTCTGTCCTGCTTGTCAGGCACAGAAAGTGAATTGTGTTTGCAAGAATAAAAGGTACATTTGATAAAATGTTGTCTACACTGTCGGACGGTCAGATTTGACTTTCACTTTAGAAAGGAAAAACTACACTTCCTTCAAGCAGAACCCACTCCTGATAATAGCATACCAGCTGGGGTATTGAATGTAACCTGTTCAGAATGACAGCAATTTGTGAATAGCCGAGTTCATAGCCAACTGACTTGAGCAGACATCGCATTTGTGTTGTGTTTAAGCTGGCAGTTTCAGTACAGCGCTTGATCGAAACTGACGGCAGTTGGACAAACAGCAAAAAGTTGGACTAACATGTAGCAAGAGATACTGGTGAATCTTTGAAGATGATAAATGTCTACAAGACAAGTGATGACATCGCTCAAGCAAGAGTTCACATTTGTGACCAAATCTGCAGGACACAATTTCGTTGGTGGCTTTTGATCATACTGAGTTTATGACAAGAAAAGAAGAACAAGATTTCTATTTTTAACTGGTCAACACCTCCACTCGTCATGGAAACTACATGGTCACCCGATGAAGGAATAACTGTCACTACCAACACAACAGGAGACAAAGATGAGAATGAATTCACCTCAACAACATTGTTGATTTCGGTAAAAGTTTTGACAGTATTTGCAATCTTTCTGTGCGTCTTACTGAATCCACTGATGCTTGTCACTTTGCGCTGTGTCACCAGCATCCAGCCAACAACCAAAATATTCATGGCTTCTCTCACCCTGTCTGATCTGTGCAACAGTTTATGCTGCATAACTTCTTCAACACAATTGTTTACTGAATCTTGGTTGCTGGGGGATTTTCTCTGTGTGGTACATGGTGTGACTATTTACTTATTTAATGGGCTGGGCATTATTTCCCTCTTACTCTTGACTGTGGATCGTTATATTGCCATTTCCCGTCCTTTGCGTTACCCTTCAATCATGACTGTGTTCAGATCAAAGATAATTGTGTTGAGCACATGGGCAGCAGTGAGCATTATATGCATTTTGGGATTTGGGATACATGGGAGAAGTGTTGTCTCATTAGCTAGCAAACATAACCTTTGCCTCAGAGAATCATATGACTGGAGACAATATCTAAGTGTTACACTAGCTGTTGTCATAATTCTATCAATATTCATCCTGTATGCACGCATCGCCCGGATAGCTCGCAATCAAGACCGACGCATTGCTGCTGAAAACCAAGCAGGCAATGGTCAAGGTGGGCAGAGAATAAACACCAGATCAACCACCACCATCATCATCATTACAGGGACTTTAATCATCACCTGGATTCCTACAGTAATCAGGTTAGCGCCAGTTTCACAAGACAAATCACCTTATGACAGTCACTTGGCCTTCATGTTCACACAAGCTCTGGTGTTGTCCAATGGCTGGATGAATGTTGTTATTTACTACCTGAGGAACAGGGATCTTCGCAAAGCACTACGAGGTCCACTTTCTAACTGGTATCACCGTCTCAATCAAAGATTCTTACATAATTAACATTTCAATAAATGATACTGTATGAACTTTAATCCACAAAGCTATTATTTGAAAAACTATTAAAACTGCCACCACCATAACGTCACACTTCCTTCTGCTAAGGGCTATAACACTTCTTTTATCTACATGTAACAGCGGTTTGCATTTATTGTTAATACATATTTGTGGTCTACATGTTACCCAGAGTCATCGTTGCATGTTGTTTTCCTTCAACAAAAAGGATGAACAGAATTTGTAGGAACAATGATAATTACACGGAAATGTACGGATTTCATGTAAAAAACTTTGCTCAAAGTGAAAAAAGGACAGGTACTAATACTAAGTATCCCATGAAATTATTACGTCTGAAATGGTATCGTCCAAATGACAACAAATTTAAATAAATGAGTTGTGCAAAAACAATAAAGAGGAAATGCCAAGCTTTACGAGATTTTATAAAGTGTTTTTCAATTTCTAATGACATACCGTACGAGTGAAGTGCAAAACAATTCAATCAGATGATCTGAGAAAAAGTTGCATGCTTGTTGAAAGTAGTTTAAAAAGTGGTTTTTATGTGCATTAGCAACAGAATATCAGATATGACACCCGAAAGATTGTGCATACGTTCTCTTAAAATGCATGGTACCAGGTAAATTAATTAAAATATGTGTCACTCTTCAAGTGAAGCCCTGGAGCTTTTATCACGATTGTTTAAATGGATGACACTTTTATTTCATCTCCCTAATGGTTCAACAATTGGAGATAGAGTAAACCTCTCATCTTCACTGTTCTTGCATTGTGACTGCATTGACAGGACAAACATGTATAAACTAATTGCTATAGTAAACATCAGCGTGTGCCATCACTGGGAATAAGACAGGAACAACTCCATCAAATAACCCTGGATCTTTTCATTGAGGCATAAAGTAATGTGGGTCATTTGATGGTGGTAAATCAAAAAGGAAAGAAAGCGATTAGGGACTGTCATTTTGCATATCCCTCATCAAATTTGCGTGGAAACAAAGCTGATACAGTATCTCGATCCTGTGTGGCCAATGTGTTTGCAAGGATAAAAGGCACGATTGATAACTGGTGTCTACACTGTCGTTCACTTTATTCAATCACACTCCTGATAATGCTAAACAAGATGATAATTCTATCACTTGTTCAGAATGGAAAGCAGCACAAGAGACCAGACAAAGCAGTTTTGCTACAGTGCTTGATGGAGAAATTTCGTGGCAGTTTCACAATCAGCAAACAGTGTGACTAACATGTAGCAGGAGATTTTGGTGAATCCTTGAAGCCGTTAAATTTCTACAAGACTAGTGAGGATATCACTCAAGCAAGAGTTCACATTGATGACAAAATCCGCAGGATATACATTTTTTAGAGGCTTCAGATCATACTGATGATACGGACAAGTAAACAAAAACAAGACTCTACTCGTCATGGAAACTACATGGTCGCCCAGTGAAGGAATAACTGTCACTACCAACACAACAGGAGACAAAGATGAGAATGAATTCACCTCAACAACATTGTTGATTTTGGTCAAGGTTTTGACACTACTTGCAATCTTTCTGTGCGTCTTACTGAATCCACTGATGCTTGTCACTTTACGTCGTGTCACCAGCATCCAGCCAACAACCAAAATATTCATGGCTTCTCTCACCCTGTGTGATCTGTGCAACAGTTTATTCAGGATCTTCGCTTCAACGGAATTATTTACTGAATCTTGGATGCTGGGGGATTTTCTCTGTGTGGTAGATGGTGTGACTATTTACTTATTTAATGGGCTGGGCATTATTTCCCTCTTACTCTTGACTGTGGATCGTTATATTGCAATTTCCCGTCCTCTGCAATACCCTTCAATCATGACTGTGTTCCGATCAAAGATAATTGTGTTGAGCACGTGGGCAGCAGTGAGCATTATATGCATTGTGGTATTTGGGATTGATGGCAGTGGTATTGTCTCACTGGACACCCATTATTACCATTGCAAAGCAGGATATGACTGGAGACATCATCTAGCTGTTGCACTTCTTGTTATCACTATTCTATCAATATTCGTCCTGTATGCACACATCGCCATGATAGCACACAATCAAGCCCGACGCATTGCTGCTGAAAACCAAGCAGGCAATGGTCAAGGTGGGCAGAGAATAAACACCAGATCAACCACCACCATCATCATCATAACAGGGGCTTTAACCATCACCTGGATGCCTATAGTTATTTGGTTAGGGATGAATTCTCAAAACAAATCGGAGACTTATGACAGTCACTTGGCCGCCATGTTCACACAAGCTCTGGTGTTGTCCAGTGGATGGCTCAATGTTGTTATTTACTATCTGAGAAACAGGGATCTTCGCCAGGCACTACGAGGTCTCCTATCTGACTGGTATCACAGTCTCAACCAAAGATTTGTGCATTAGTTTCGAAGGAAACTTTCAAATATCAATACTGACACTTTAACACTCAGCTCTTAACAGTGCAATCGCTGGCTCTTTGTTATGATAAGCACTGAATACTCTGAAATGTTTGAGCATGTTGAGAAACAATTCACTACCCTGCGTGGGAAAGACTTAAACCCAAGATCTCATGCAGGTTTATGTAAAGCAGGCAACTTTGTTTAAAGCAGATTGTGATTTGCTTGAATTTGCGAAATGTCTCACCTTCTTCGACAGGTTGAAGCTTCCAAGCTGACTATAATTGTCCATCAGTAACACTGGCTCCAGTTCACTACCTCACCACACATCAGGTGCAGTAACCTGTGTAGTTCTCTAGATCGAGGACAACCTGTGTCCGGCTTGTATTGGTACGTGATGTCCCTTTGATTTGGCTGAAGTGCATCGAGGACCAGCGGCAACTCAAAGCTCTGTAAAGATAACCAAACACAAAGAGAGGGCATAGATAATTTCATGGTTTTTATTCCTTCACGGCACTCAGACTGTTTGCAAAGGGGAGGCAGACATGTTTAGGAAGGTATTCTCCTGTTCCACCCAACGAAGCAAATGAAGGTTCAAACGGACACCAAACTGTATGCACATCTTGCTGCATGTTGACATGGGATGGCTAATTTAGAATGAAACAAATGAAAGAAATAGGATGGATGTATTCAGTCTAAAATACAATAACGCTTCTGGCATCTTGAACACATCTCCATTCAACACTCAGTCCTCAGCAACAACACATTATCAACAGCTCATGTTTAACATGGCAAAAGTAGGTTCTTAGTTTTTGTTTTGAAATCAACAGTGCTCAGTTAGCAAAGATGCAACCCCAATGAAGGTGCTCAAGTTCATAAATTTGACATAATATAACCAATTATTTTGAAATTCCATTATATTTGATACACCATGTAATAGCTAGTATGTTGTTATGTAAGTGACGCTAGTTATTGAAATGAAGCCCTGAAACTTTGATCAAGATTGGTTCAAGGAAAGACTCTCTTATGCCATTCACTGAATGGTTCAATGAGAGAAGTTAAAGTAAACAATTCATCTTCCTCGTTCTTGCATTGCGACTGATTTGACAGGCACATGCACATATATACTATGCATACGGTAATTATTGAAGTGCTACAGAAAACGTGAGTGTGCTGAGCAACCATTGAAAGAAAGATGTTAGATCTGTCACGTGCAATATGCTTGGAGACACTGTAAACGTTAACATTACATGGACCATTGTCGGGAATAAGAAGGGAACTACGTGACTAATGGTTCAATTTTCATTTCATCGCCCTAATGGTTCAATAATCAGAAGTAGAGTAAACCTCTCATCTTCACTGTTCTTGCATTGTGACTGTATTGACAGGCACAAACATGAACTGGTACTTATATTTGATTTAAGTGCTATTGAAACGTGAGCGTGGACCATTGGCAATAATAAAGGGGTATGTGTGACTTAATTACAACTCCATCAATAACCCTGGATCTTTTCACTGAGGCTTAAAGAAACATGGGTCATTTGATGGTAGTAAATTAAAAAGGAAAGAAAGATGTTAGGACCGTCATGAGCATTTCCTTATCAAATCTGCTTGGAGACAAATTGCTTAGAGACAAAGTTGATACTGTACCTCACTCCTACGTGTCTGGCGCAGAAAGTGAATTATGTTTGCATGAATAAAAGGCACAATTGTCTACACTGTGCGGAAACATTACACCTCATTCAAGCAGGACCCACTCCTGAACACAAAGATGCTGGAGTACTTTATGTAACCTGCTCTGAATGACAAGCAGCACAAGGGGCCTGAGACGGCAATTTGTGAACAGCTACATTAATAGCCAACAGACGTTCGGCAAATTCAGCACATACATGTAATATTTTTAGCAGTTTTGCTACAGCTTTTAATTGAAAAAAAGTATGGCAGTTGGACAATCAGCAAGCAGTGTGGCCAACATGTACCATAGCCTAAGACTTTGCTGAATCCTGGAAGAGAATTTGTTCTACTGAAAGACGAGCGATGAGATCGCCTTAACACAAGTTGGTATTTAATGACAAAGTCTACAGTTCACTAGCATTTTTGTGTGTGTTTTTCGCACACAAAATTGCACGCTTATCTTCAGAGCAAATCATCTCTTGCTTATGAATCATGGAAACTACACAGTCATCTGATGAAGGAATAATTGTCACTTCAAACAGAACAGAAGACAATGTTGAGAATGAACACACATCAACAACATTGTTGATTTTGGTCAAGGTTTTGGCAGTACTTGCAATCTTTCTGTGCGTCTTACTGAATCCACTGATGCTTGTCACCTTACGTCGTGTCACCAGCATCCAGCCAACAACCAAAATATTCATGGCTTCTCTCACCCTGTCTGATCTGTGCAACAGTTTATGCTGGATCCTTCTTTTAACAGAATTGTTTGCTGGATCATGGTTGCTGGGGGATTTTTTCTGTGTTGTATATGGTGTGACTTTTAACTTATTTAATGGACTGGGGATTTTTTCTCTTTTAATTCTGACTGTGGATCGTTATATTGCCATTTCACATGCTCTACAATACCCTTCAATCATGACTGTGTTCAGATCAAAGATAATTGTGTTTAGCACATGGGCTGCAGTGAGCATTCTCTGCATTTTGGTATTTGGGATTCATGGGAGTCATGTTGTCTCACTGGATACTCCTCATTACATTTGCCTAGGACGATATGACTGGAGACTTTATCTACCTTTTACACTTCTGGTTATTACAATTCTATCAATATTCATCCTGTATGCATGCATCGCCCGGATAGCTCGCAATCAAGCCCGACGCATTGCTGCTGAAAACCAAGCAGGCAATGGTCAAGGTGGGCAAAGAATAAACACCAGATCAACCACCACCATCATCATCATAACAGGGACTTTAATCATCACCTGGATTCCAACAGCCATCGGGATGCTGATACCACGAAACACATGGACACAGTACCTGGCAGTCATGTTCATGAATGTTCTGCTGCTGTGCAATGGCTGGCTGAATGTTATGATTTACTACCTGAGGAATAGGGATCTCCGTCAGGCAATGCGCACTTTACTATCTGACTGGCATAGAAGTCTGCAACAAAGATTCTTGCATTAAGCAGTAAGAATACGTTTCAAAACACTTTTTTATACAAAACGCTTTACAACCAATTCACCAGCTCAACAAGACTTCAGATTGTCAAAGAACACCAGAGGAATCAGTTCACCCTTTGCATACAATGGTCCAGGTGGGCAGAGAATAAACACCAGATTAACCACATATGCAGCATCATCATTGCACTGCACATCAATTTTTTGGTGATGACCATGAATGAGTCTCTTGTGCCTATTACATGTACTAATATCAAATATATAAGTCATTGACCGGTAAGCTAAACAGCACAAACAATTGGAAGATGGGCCAAAGCAGTCATGACAAAGGAATGAGGGGAACAGGGCATATGGCAAAGTACAAGTAGTTGCTACATGTACATGTACAGTGAACATGTACCTTAGTTGTAAACCTAGGTATAGAGCCTAGCCATTATAACTTGACAAGGGACTTGAGAGTTTTAGAGTTTGATGAATATTCTATTAGATTATTGAATGTAGAATGGTATGCTTACACGCATGCAGCCAGAAACAATTACATGCTCAAATTAGATTTGTGTGTATCTTAATATTGTTTCCTCCTTTTTGGTGTTGCACTTTGGTTCTCTGTGCCTTGAACATCCCATTGCGGTTGATCTGGTGTATTATAAATGTTCTTTATTTTTTATCATTATGTGTATATGTACATAAACAGGCAGCTAGAATGCAGTTTACTGAAAAGCAAGCAGACAAATACAAACATGAAAATAAATAAATAAATGCATAATTATTGAAGTGCTACAGAAAACGTGAGTGTGCTGAGCAACCATTGGAATAAGAAATGCAAATCAAGTTCACAAACTGAAAGAAAGGTGTTAGATCCGTCACGTGCAATATGCTTGGAGACACTGTAAACGTTAATATGGACCATTGTCGGGAATAAGAAGGGAACTACATGACTTAATAACAAGTCCATCAAACAACCCTGGATCTTTTCTTTCATTTTCCTAATGGTTCAACTTTCATTTCATCGCCCTAATGGTTCAATAATCAGAAGTAGAGTAGACCTCTCATCTTCACTGTTCTTGCATTGTGACTGTATTGACAGGCACAAACATGAACCGGTACTTATATTTGAATTAAGTGCTATTGTAACGTGAGCGTGGATGATCATTGGCAATAAGAAAGGAGTACGTGTGACTTAATTACAACTCCATCAGATAACCCTGGATCTTTTCACTGAGGCTTGAAGAAACATGGGTCATTTGATGGAGGTAAATCAAAAAGGAAGGAAAGATGTTAGGACCGTCATGAGCATCTCCTTAACAAATCTGCTTGGAGACAAATTGCTTGGAGACAAAGTTGATACTGTACCTCACTCCTACGTGTCTAGCGCAGAAAGTGAATTGTGTTTGCATGAATAAAAGGCCCAATTGACAACTGGTGTCTACACTGTGCGAAAACATTACACTTCATTCAAGCAGGACCCACTCCTGAACACAAAGATGCTTGAGTACTTTATGTAACCTGCTCAGAATGACAAGCAGCACAAGGGGCCTGAGACGGCAATTTGTGAACAGCTACATTAATAGCCAACAGACGTTCGTCAGATTCAGCACATACGTGTAATATTTTTGTCAGCAGTTTTGCTACAGCTTTTGATTGAAAAAAACTATGGCAGTTGGACAATCAGCAAACAGTGTGGCCAACATGTACCATAGCCTGAGACTTTGCTGAATCCTGGAAGGGAATTTGTTCTACTTAAAGACGAGTGATAAGATCACCTTAACACAAGTTGGTATTTAATGACAAATTCTACAGTTCATTAGCATTTTTGTGTGTGTTTTTCGCACAACAAATTGCACGCTTGTCTTCAGAGTAAATCATCTCTTGTTTTTGGTCATCATGGAAACAACACAGTCTTCTGATGAAGGAATAATTGTCACTTCAAACACAACAGAAGACAATGTTGAGAAGGAACTCACATCAGCAACATTGTTGATTATGGTCAAGGTTTTCGCAGTACTTGCAATCTTTCTGTGTGTCTTACTGAATCCACTGATGCTTGTCACCTTACGTCGTGTCACCAGCATCCAGCCAACAACCAAAATATTCATGGCTTCTCTCACCCTGTCTGATCTGTGCAACAGTTTATGCGGGATTCTTCTTTTAACAGAATTGTTTGCTGGATCATGGTTGCTGGGGGATTTTTTCTGTGTTGTAAATGGTGTGACTTTTTGCTTATTTAATGGACTAGGGATTTTTTCTCTTTTAATTCTGACTGTGGATCGTTATATCGCAATTTCCCGTCCTCTGCAATACCCTTTAATCATGACTGTGTTCAGATCAAAGATAATTGTGTTAAGCACATGGGCTACAATGAGCATTCTCTGCATTTTGGTATTTGGGATTAATGGGAGTCGTATTGTCTCACTGGATACCCCTTATTACTTTTGCCTAGGACATTATGACTGGAGGAATTATCTAGCTTTTATGCTAGTTGTTGTCATAATTCTATCAATATTCACCCTGTATGCACGCATCGCCCTGATAGCTCGCAACCAAGCCCGACGCATTGCTGCTGAAAACCAAGCAGGCAATGGTCAAGGTGGGCAGAGAATAAACACCAGATCAACCACCACCATCATCATCATAACAGGGACTTTATTAACCACCTGGATTCCTACAGTAATCAGGATTATGATACCACAAAACACAGGGACGCTGTACCTGACAGGCATGTTCACGGATGTTCTGCTGCTGTGCAATGGCTGGCTGAATGTTATGATTTACTACCTGAGGAATAGAGATCTTCGTCAGGCAATGAGTTCTTTACTATCTGACTGGCATAGAAGTCTGCAACAAAGATTCTTGCATTAAGCAGTAAGAATACGCGTAAGACAAAACCATTTGGTTGGATGCTGAGAGCAAAAGAAGAAAAAAAACACATGTTATTCCCTTTGCGTCTTCTGCTAGTACCATAAAAACAAATTGCTAATGTTTTCTGAAAGAATAGAAGGAAAAATGGATACATGACATCTGCTTTGCATTTGAGTTTCAACAGAAACAATTGCACTCCATCAAGGAACTGCACTAAAAGCTGATCAGAGGCAAAGTTGCATGCCTGTTCAAGGTGGTTTAAAAAGTCTGCCCGCGGGCACACTTTTATGTACATTAACAACGGATTCCAGATACAAGCTACAATGATTGTGGATAGATGTACATGTTTTCTTAAAGTGTACATGTATGGTAGCCAGTGAGCTATATTTTGTAAAAGTTCAACAGGTCATTTATTAAATGCACCCTACTAAAGATTTTGAGCAGTTTTGTTGCTTCAAATGGAAAAAAAAAGGACAAAGAGCGAATGATCCTAGTACCATTAATAAATAGCCCAAGTGTCATCATTTTCAGCAAAATGACCGATTTTTATTTTAATTCCTTTATATTAACTTTGTATGCTTTCAATTATAATATGCGACACTTTTCGAATGAAGCCCTGAAGCTTTTATCAAGATTATTTACATGTAAATGGATGACACTTTTATTTCATCGTCCTAATGGTTCTGTTCTACTTGTACCTGATATTGAGCAACTTAAACTTTCAATTTTGAAGGAAAAAAAACACTGCAGAAGGGATAGTAAACATCAGAAGCATCCTTGCAACAATTTACAAATCATGTGATACATATTTAATCCCTTTTCCATTTTTTTTTTAATATGGAGATGGAAATACATGGTGCTCAACTTTGAGTACATATAAAAAACGTGATATAAGAGTTAGTGTAAACCAATGAAAGGAATTCTCCTGATAACTTTGAAAACTTTTGCTAAAAAAAGTCAAGGGAAAGTGGCCAGGAAACGCCTCAGATTGCACCACAGAGCATCTGGAATTCCCATGCCACAAGGGCTTCGTGCTCCACGCTCGCATTAGACCTCGACGAACAACTGCCCCTATGCTGTAATTTCACCAGAATTTTCAGAATATGTGGAACTATATTAAACAAGCTGATTTACCCGATCATAGATCGGGTAGGGCGTAGTGTTGGGGATGAAAATGTGGGGAGTTAAATGTAAATGGGGGATATAGTTGGGGAGACATGCAGTTATGGAAAGGCAATTTCTGTGGTGTGATCTGAGGCAATTTCTGACCACTAAAACCAATTTGAGCAAAAGATCATCTTTTAAAGTTTCGAGTTTGGAGTAATTGAATCAGCTACGGTACATGTATTCTGAGCAATAGAATCATTATTGTAGGCTACAATTTTTATTCGGGGAAGAAAAAGTGGGGGACCAAACAATGTCCCCCGCTTCAAATGGGGGGGGGGGGGGGGGGGGGGTTCCAGCTGTCCCCCGTCGATTTACGCACATGATAATTATGTACATAGATGCACAGATGAAAACCGAGGCACAAAGCATCAGTAATAATTTGCATGTACATGTAGGTAGCACTGTTGAATGTTTAAACAGCTTCCGGCAAATTTAATCATTGACTATAATTTGTTGCCATGACATGATGAACAATATCGCTCCAATACGAAATTATTAAACACACAGACCGTACACAAAGGAGTTTACAAGGCTAGCTGGACTTGCCCCCCCCCCCTTTGTTTAAACTTCCTGGCTATGCCTGTGGAGTATTGTACAATGTATGTATACTGTTCAGAATGACAGCAGTTGGTGAACAGCCAAGTTAATAGCCAGCTGATGGGCAGATACATCACATAAAGTTTATGTTGGCAATCTTGCTCTGTCAGTTTGATGCAGAAATTGATGACAGTTGGACAATCAACAAAAAAATGTGACTAATAACATGTAGCAAGAGATTATGGTGAATCCTTGAAGATGATGTATTTCTACAAAACATGCGGTGCCATCGCTCATGCAAGAGTTGACATATATGACAAATCTGCTGGAAACAAACTTTTTAGTGGCTTTTCATCATATTTAGTTTTTGAGAAGAAAAGAAGAACAAGACTTCCATTTTGGACCCAACGCCTTACTCATCATGGAAACTACATGGTCATCCAC